TCAATTGTCATGTGTCCTTTGTTCTGTGCTTTTTAAGCCTTTCTCCAAGATTCGTGACAAGCAAAAAATTAAAGAACATCTATCTCATTCTCCTTTCTAAATCTTCTCTTCAATTTTCCTATCCTTTTCTTCTCTGTCTATTGATTCTCTCTACTTCCTTCTCTCCTATCCATTCTCTTAATCATCATTTTGTGCTTCTTCCTTGCTCATCTTGCCTCTCTATAGTCTATATAAGTACTGGTTCATGAACCTAGGACCCGATATACCTATTTGGGAACTGTGTGTTTGGCCTACAATCTTGGAGTCTCCTATATTCATTCATCTTCAAGGTAGTAGGAGCAAAGAGCATTGGGTTTACAAAGAGGTGCACTTTTTTAGCATAAAATTAACATGTTTGGAACCTAACACAAGGATTTTTTTAATATATAGAAAAAGAAATATTATTAAAAATGAGAAAAAGACACCACAACCTAACACAAGGATCTTTAATCAACATTCTCACTGTATCACTTCCTTTGGCATAGAGAGGTGTCTTTTAGTGAATTTCTTTGCTTTGTTTTGGATCAAGGCTCCTGGGCTTTTGGAGGATTGCTTTGTCCAGCCAGCTAAGAGATCAAGCCGAATTATTAATTAATATTTTTTCCCTCCATTCCTTTGCTTCAATTCTGCATTTTGTTTTCATTTTGAAGGATGACTTGTCCTCCCTTTTCTTACTTCCTCTCCAAATAATTCGGCTCCCTTCCCTCATAAGATGTATTTCTAGTCATCACCATACCAACAATGCAAATATTGAGTTGGTTTTTATATCTAAACGGATTGAAAAAGATCCATCTAGTCGATAGAGGAGAGGAAAACAAAGTGGGCTTCAGGAAGAAGCTTGTTTAAAATGCAAGCAAAAGCTGGAAGATGCTGCCAAGGCCAAGCTGATGCTGAAGCCAATGAGAGAAAGTCGGGCCGCAAAAGATCTTTTCCTGAATCTAGTTCTGAAAGTGTAGTGAAAGCAGCAATGAAAGAACAAAGACAAGGAAGATCCTAGAAGAAGCATAAAAAGCAAGCTGATTCTTATTTAGGAGCAATGGAGGAGGAAGGAGAAGATAAAGCGAAAGAGACAATTCTCAAGCTCAAGTAATGACATAGTGAAAACCTTGAACATGGCTTTGAAGCAGAGCATAGGAGGAAGAAGCAAAACAACAAAAGGTGCAGTCATCAGCACTTAGTCAAGCATCTAGCGATTCTGATGCTTTAGATGATGATGATAAGAGTGTGAAAAAATAAAAGTCATGTAAAGCATCAGAGACGTGACCATGGAAAATCTAACAATGAAGAACATGCAAGAAGTAGAAAGAAAAATCACACAAGTAAATGCCATCAATTGTCATAATCTACGGCTTCAGATTCGTCAAGCAAAGAGAATGATACAATCATAGGGAAAAGCCATGGGAAGCACCATAAACACCATAGACATTCACAGAATAGATTCAAAGTCATCCATTCTGATTGTTGTAGACATGATTAAAGAAACAAATCTATGAGAAAGCCATAAGATAACTAGGAAGAACAGGGTTAAGAAACAAAAAAAGGCACAAAGAGAACAACCATCAACACCACCATCACAAACATTAGTACCACAATGTAGAGAAAGTCAGCACCATCACCTAGATGTGGAGAAAAATAATTCTACCCAGAAAATCAAAGCAGCCAATGGGAAGAACCATGCAAAACGTGACAGAAGCAAGACCAAGAGCAATAATAATGATGTTCATAATCATCAACATGTCCACGGTGACCTCAATGGCGTTGAGTTATCATGTTAATGGACATTTGTTTCTCCAGATTTTGTTGTGTTGGGAACTGAATAGCTTAAGACTTTAATATAAACTTGTTATTTTAACTCAACAAGCAAAAAAGCCACCAGAAAAGAAATAGAAGGAACTTACTTTAAATTGACAAGT